TATATATATATATATATATGTAAATATATATATATATGTTGCTGTAGGCACAGTTGGTAGGCTTATTCTTATAATATCGACTCAACCCGTTCATCAGACACATACAAATGCTGCGGCATCTGCTGCTGTCAGTGCTGCTGTTTCTTCTTGTTTTGCTGCTGCTGTAACACTGCTGCTGCTGCTGCTGCTGCTGTTGCTGCATGCTAGGCAGGGTATAGTGAGAACATTTGCTGGTCTTTAACCCCCAAGTGAAGTAAAATAATATTTAATTAAATAAAATAAGCGGAGGCGGGGTTCGAACGCGGGCACTAGGAGTCTTGGGGGAGGGGGGGTGTTAAGTTTCTTATAATATATGCATTTTTTTTCTTTTTCTCGTTATTAATATAATTTGAGGTTTAATTTATTAATTTGTTTAAAAATATAGACATTAAAGAGAAGAAATACGGCGAATAATAACAACAAACTAAGACAATTAGTTAACAGTACACTTGGGGCTTTAAAGAGAGCTGCCCTAAAGCCCCAGAAAGGGAGAGCTTGAGGTGTACGTACAGCTGGGTAAAGCTGCGAAAAGAAAGAAATAAAAAGTTTAAAAAGAAAGAATTAAATAAAAAGATATAATTTCTAAGATCTGCTGCTTCTTGCATCTCTGCTGCAATCTTGAGGTGTATGTACACCTCAACATATTGAATGTATGCCAGAGTTGTGTAAGTGGGGGGGTTCTTAAGACCCTTTATTTTCATCCTTTTTTTGTTCTCTTTTCATATAAATTGTTTATTTTTAATTATATTGCAAGGAAATGGCGAAAGTTGCCTCCATCGGCATCCCTGTAAAGCTCCTTCACGAGGGGCTCGGCCACACCATCACTGTTGAAACAAAGACGGGTATGTACATACACCCCAACTACAGCAACATTTTCTCGCATTTCTTTCTCCTGATTGCAGCCTAAACCCTCAAAGCAGCTGCAAATATCAACAGCACAAAGCTGCAGCGGGAGCAGTGGGAGGAGCTGCTCCTGCTGCAGAAACAGCAGCAGCAGCAGCAATAATAGCAGCAGGAACAGCAGCAGCAATAATAGCAGCAGCAGCAGCAGCAATAAGGGCAGTAGCCTCTGCGGCAGGACGTGGCTGGCTGCCTCGTCTGGCGTGCGAGAGGCGCTATTACAACCATTATACTCTGGGGGTTTAGGGTTTAGGGTTTAGGGTTTGGGGTTTGTGCTCAGGGTCTCTCTACCGAGGCACTTTAGAAAATGCAGAAGATAATATGAATATGTTAATTCAAGGGGTGTCTGTAACGCACAAGGATGGGAAGGTCTTGTCTCTCGAGCAGGTCTACATCCGAGGGAGCCAAGTAGGGTTTAGGGTTTAGGGTTTAGGGTTTGTGGTTTCGTTGAAACCTATATATTGCATGCATATGCCTTTATCTGTTTAGGGTTGATGGTTTAGGGTTTATGGTTTCCTGTGCGACAAACTGAATCCCCTCCACCCATTCCCAAACCCTAAACCCTAAACCCTAAACCCTAAACCCTAGAAAGTGTGTTATTGTGTGTGTTGTTTAGGTCCAAATGGTTATATTCCCAGATATGCTGAGACATGCCCCAATGTTTAAATTTGCAGACAGAAGCAAAGGACGAAGGCCTCTAGGTTTAGTAGGCATGCGTAGAGCGATGAACATGAGAAATGCTAGAGGCAGAGGAGGTAGAGGGGGTAGAGGTAGAGGAGGAGGCTTCTAAACCCTAAACCCTAAACCCTAAAATATATCTATCAAACCTCAGGCATATCCAACCAAATCCACACAATCAAACGGATGCTCAGCAACGCTGCTTAAGAGCCCATACAGGGGGGCCCCCTGGGGGCCCCCGATTGGCTTAGGCCTCCGAGGGTCCCCCCTTCGCTTAGGGCCCTTGGGGGCCCTTAGGGGGCCCCCAAACGGGCCCTTAGGCTTGGGGCCCCAAGGGGGGCCCTTAGTCTCAGGGTTTAGGGCCCGTAAGGGGGCCCCTAGGCTTAGGGCCTATGGGGGCCCCCAAGGGGGCCCCTAAGGTTCGAGTGTCTAGTAGGCCCTTAGGCTTAGGGTTCTTAGGGGGCCCCTAAGGGGCCCTTAGGGGCCCCTAGTTGGCTCTTAGGGGCCCCCTAAGGGGCCCCCCAGCAGAATGAGTGACGCCTGGGAAGGGATGTCTTGGATTAGGGGGCCCTCTGAATAGGGTTTAATATAATTGTTAAGTTCGGGGCCCCCTGAATAGGGTTGAATATAATTGTTACGTTCGGGGCCCCCTGAATAGGGTTTAATATAATTGTTGAGTTGGGGGCCCCCAGGGCATTGGAGGAGAGAGACGAAATGAAGAAGATAAATGCAGGAAGAAGAAGGGGAGGGGGGGTTGAGGCTTCTGCTGCTGTCAGCTGCTGCTGCAGTTGCGGCTGCAGCAGCAGCTGCAGCAGCAGCAGCTGCTGCTGGAGGGGTACTCCTGCTTCCTCTATGGAGGCCCCTTTTGCTGTCTGAGGGGGCCCCCTGGTAGCACGAAGGGGGCCCCCTGCTTTGGGGCCCCTAGGGAAGGAGGAGAAGAGCAGCAAAACAGAAACAGCGACACCCAGAGGGACATGAAACTGCTGCTGCTGTAGCAGCAGCAACAGCAGCAGCAGCAGCGGCTGCAGCTGTAGCAGCAGGAGGGGTTGTTGCTGCTAAGCAACCCTGCAGCCGCAGCACAAGCAGCACGGTCTTGCTATTGCAGCAGCAGCTGCAGCAGCAGCTGCAGCAGCAGGAGGAAGGACAGTGGTTTGTGTTGCCTTAGCTGCATGCAGCAGCTGCTGCTGCTTTTCAGTTCCTGTATAAGAACTGGGTTGCTTACAGAGAATGTCTGGAGACCCTGAGCATCAAGGAGACTGTCTCCTTTGCTGTCTCCGTTGTCAGCGCTGTCCTATTAGAGGGGGCGCTGCCGTCCTGAGGTATATATATATATATATATATATATATATGTAGGGTTTAGGGTTTAGGGTTTAGGGTTTAGGTTTAGAGAAAAAGGAGACAGAGAAAGAAGAGACAAATAGACAGAGAAAAGCAGAGAAGAGGCCCAGAGATAATGAGGAGACTCAGACGATGATTTTAAACAGCAGACAGACAGAGACAGAGACAAAGACAGACGGAGACAGACAGACGGAGACAGACAGACAGAGACAGACAGACAGAGACAGACAGACAGAGACAGAGAGGGACAGGTAACGGGGAGACAGAGACAGAGGCAGGAAGAGACAGAGATAGGGAGACAGTAGGAGACAGAGACAGAGAAACGGAAGGAGACAGAGAAAGAGACAGAGACAGAAGGAGACAGATAACGAGGAGACGAAGGCAGGAGACAGACAACAAGGAGACAGATATAAGGAGACAGAGAGACAGAGAGAGACAGAGACAGAGACAGAATGAGACAGAGAGACAGAGGCAAAAGGAGACAGAGAGACAGAGACAGAGAAACAGAGACAGAGAGACAAAGACAGAGAAACAGAGACAGAGAAACAGAGACAGAGAGACAGAAGGAGACAGAGACAGAGAAGTAGCCTAGCCCTCACCGCCTGCAGGGCAGTTTGTTGCAGAGACAGCAGACCAAGAGAATGCGACTGTCTCCTTTCTCCCTTCTCAGGAGACACCGCAAACGAAGAACTTCGAGGCCTCCACAAGGAGACAGACACTGCGTAGTCTCCTGCAACCCCACACAGATCAACCTCTACCTAGCCGAGTTGTAGCTGAGTAGCTAGCTAGCTAGCTAGCTAGCTAGCTAGCTGACAAGTTATTCAGCTTGGTGCCAGAATGGCTACCCACTAGCTGGGTTGTAGCTGAATGGCTAGCTAGCTAGCTAGCTAGCCAACTGGGTTGCAGCCAACTAGCTAGCTAGCTAGCTAGTTAGCTAGCTAGGTAGCTAGTTTGCTAGCTAGCTAGTTTGCTAGCTAGCTAGCTAGATTGTAGCTAAATAGCTAGCTGGGACTGGCCTGTTGTCATGGGGATGTCGGCGAAACCGTAGCCTAAGACAGTGTGGCGACCCAAAGGAGACACCGACATAACCTGAGGAGACACCTGAATAAAGAATGAAGGGTTTAGGGTTTAGGGTTTAGCGGTTAGCTGGCCGCGGAAAGGAGACAGCAGGAGCTACTAAGGAGAGACGCAGCACACAGATGCAGATATAAACAAAACTAATAATTAAAAGGAGACAAAAGATATAAAAGGAGACAGAGAGGAGACAAGCAGATGTACAGTTATATACAAGAAACAACAAACCCTCAGTGCTGCTGCTCTCAGCAGCAAACCCTAACCCCACGAACTAAACCCTAGACCCTAAACCCTAAACCCTGAAGCATAAACCCTCATCTCACCCTGAGCCCTCTTCTCAAACCCTAAACCCTAATTGACTTTCTCTACCCTCATCCCAAACCCTCAGCCGTCGCCGCAACCCCAAAAAGTAAGCCTCTATTGCAAACCCTAAACCCTAGCCCTAAACCCTAAACCCTAGCCTCAAGATTTACTTCTAAATAAATACGCGGAGGGGGGAAGAGAACCTCCGTCTCAGGGAGTCTCCCCATGTAACTCCTGAACACGGCATTGATGGCCTGCATGTACACCCCAAACCCTAAACCCTAAACCCTAAACCCTAAACCCTAAACCCTAAAACGCTGCAAACCCTAAACCGTCAACAACCCCAAACCCTAAAACGCTAAGCCTATATGCTATTTGAAAAGGGGGCCATGTGTTTCAGGCTTCTAATGCAGGGCTCAGGGTTCAGGGTTTGAGGTTTCTTTTTTAGGGTTTAGGGTTTAGGGTTTAGGGTTTACTTCGCCGAAGGCCGCAACCCCGTCGCCCCTCCCTTTTACACTCATTGCCGTTAGGCCTTCTAACCTGTGGAGTAGGCAGACTGTGATGAAGAGATGCTGAGTTTCAAGTCCCTTAGGGTTTAGGGTTTAGGGTTTAGGATTTAGGGTTTAGGGTTTACGACTTCCGGTCCTTGGACGGTTTAAGAAATGCTCCAACCGCCTCCTCCGCTGTCCAGCCTGAAAATCTAACACCCCAAACCCTAAACCCTAAACCCTAGCTCTAGCTCGCATACGCAGCTCTTCCTTCTGCTCTAGTTTGAAGGGTTTAGGGTTTAGGGTTTAGGGTTCAGGGGGGCTAACCGCTGCCTGGGGCGACAATTAAGTAGTGGATGTATCTGTTTTGACGTCGCACAAACAAAGCCGTTTTGTTTAAAATGAGAGCTCAAGAATTACCATGCAGGCCTTAGGGTTTAGGGTTTAGGGTTTAGGGTTTAGGGTTTGCGTTGCCTTACACGGCATGCGGAAGAAGGCGCTCCCAAAGAGCCCGCCAGAAGCTGCAGTGTCTGTACAGCTCAGCTACTGCAACACATCTCAACAAAAACTCCCCTTCTCCTTAGCCTAAACCCTAAACCCTAAACCCTAAACCCTATTCTCTAGACAGCAGTCCTGAATCCTAAACCCTAAACCCTAATCCCTACCCTTCAAACCTGAGAGGCGTTTTTGGGTTTATTTTACCTATTAAACAGTTAGGAGGTTGTGTCTAGAAAAGAGAAACTTGTGAAGCTAGGGTTTAGGGTTTAGGGTTTAGGGTTTAGGGTTTAGGGTTTAGGGTTTAGGGTTTTGCGTCTCGTTCTGGTTTTCAGCAAACGAATAAACTAGGAGCTACATACTGAAGAGAGGAGATTGTTGAAGGCTATTATTAGGGGGCCCCTGGGGGCCCCCTGACTCTCCTTTGCTTGGGGGCCCCACCGTTTCAATAGTAATACCAACCGCTAGAACAAGGGGGCCAGCCCCTGTACGCAGCATCCGGAGGGGGCCCCCAGGGTACTGTTGGGGGGCCCCACGGGGGCCCCATTTGAACGCTAAGGAGCTCTCGTTGAGTAGGGGCCCCTCGGGGGGCCCCTCAAGGGGGCCCCCAGGAGTCCCCTCAAGGGGGCCCCCAGGGGTCCCCTCAAGGGGGCCCCCAGGGGGCCCCAATAAGGGCCCCATGGGCCCTCGGGGGGCCCCCTTAAGGGGGCCCCACACAGGGTTTGTGGGGAAGCCCTGTACTGCGCTGAATTCAAATAATTTTTTCTAAGGACGAGATGAAGACAAAAGGAGACACTAAAAAGAAGTTTTGTTGCTGGTGTTTAGATTATTAAAAGGGTTTGTAGAGCAGAGAGAGACAATAAAAGTATTATTATTATTATTATTATTATTATTATT